GACACCGCGAGGCGGTGGGGCAGTTGTGAAGACACGATTCCTTAATTCTCCAAACACCACATGGTTAGCTTAGTAAAACCAGATTTCTTCCTTGACTCCGAATCTCTTCGATTGTCAGATTATTTAGGAATATCACAGGATTCCCAGGGGATGCTGTCGTTTTCCATCTTAATGAAGCACAAACAGGCAGAGCCTCGGGGCTCCGTTACGAAAACGCTTCAACTCTGAACGTGAACCGAGTGGCCTCGTCTCGTCCGGGGCTCCTGTCTGTACGTTTCTACTGTGCGGCTTTCTCCCCAGATAGTGCTTCTTACTCTTGTTGTGGTCATGGTTTTTATTTGAGAATTGGGTGATAATTTTGAACCCGGCCCCCAGAAAAAAATATGTACGTACTTTATAGATGACCCTGAGTCCCCAGAATCCTGGAACCCGTGTCCCCAGGTCGAGCGGCACGCTGCTTTCACGAGGTCGGAAGCAGCCTTTTAAAAGAAATAAGAAAATCTTGAAAATGGGTATCTTTCCTGTCCAGTTGGTAAAACACTAACGGAAAAGTCACTGATCTATAAAAACAAGGCATTAATTACAGACATCGAGAGGAGCGAGGGCTGTCATGATTTTAAATTGTATTCGTTAAAATCAGTAATTCCACGTTGAATCCTCTGTCCTGTTTCATGTCTATTTTAGCCGAATGCGGGGCGAGTGTCAGAGGAAACGAGGGGACGTTGCTGTCGCCGAACTTCCCGTCCAACTATGACAACAACCACGAGTGTATCTACAGCATAGAGACCGAGGCCGGCAAGGGCATCCGCCTCCGGGCCCGAAGCTTCCAGCTGCTCGAAGGGGACACGCTAAAGGTAAAGGGTCCCTTCCGTACCTGGACGCTGCCAGGACAGAACTTTTTAATTACAACTGAGCCAAGACTAGCGTCACTCTGGGCTCAAAGACCGTGACCTGTGACAGGATCTCAGCATGACGTCCTGTCTTGTAACCGCTGGGCAGGAAGGGTTGCCCTGTGCCCTGTACTTGCCGGACAGCTCAGAGAGGACCGCGTGGCCGAATATTATACAGCTTTAACTTTTTTAAAAAATATATCTTTGCCCCGGCCGGGCATGGCTCAGCGGTTGAGCGTCGACCTAGGATCCAGGCGATCCAGGTTTGATTCCTGGTCAGGGCACAGGCCCGGGTTGCGGGCTGCAGCCGATCAGTGACTCTCATCATTGATGTTTCTGTCTCTCTCTCTCCCTTTCTCTCTCTGAAATCAATAAAGATATAT